GATGCAGCCCTCTGCTCCTTTTGCCCCAGGAGCCCCTGCCTCCCAGGCCAGGCTGATGCTCAGAGGACCCAGCTGCTCCTGCAGGGTGACAGAAAGAAAGAAAGGAGGGGACAGGGCGGGGGTGCAGGAAGTGCCTTTCTTGGAACTCTGCACCAAAATAGCCCACTCCGTTCCTACTCTGGGTCTCAGTGTCCCCACGGGGGAGGTGTGTGTCACCAAGGAGACCCTCACCAGGGAGGGGCCTGAGTTGACCTCAGTCTGGCTTCTGCCCACCATCCTCCCACCCCTCCCACCCCTGACAGCCCTCACCACCCCCGCCTCGGGCTCTGCTCCACTTTGAAGTCCTAACATAAATATCATGTCTGCTTGGGTTCCCCTTCCCGGCCCGGTCACAGCCCCCAGACCTGGCTCCCACCCCAGCCAGCACTGGGGGTGTGAGCTGGGGGAGGGGAGCGAGGGAGGCCTGGACCACCCAGGGAAGGTGGCGAGCCAGAGACCCGGGGACAGGAACAGGGAGACAGAGCGGGTGAGACACCAGAGATGGAGAGGGGGGAAACAGAAGAGGGCAGAGAACAGAGAGACCCCAGAAACCAACAAGGTGACAATGCTGGGGACAGGAGAGGAGAAAGAGGGACCCCAGAGACAGAAAGGGGAGCTAGAGACCCCGACGGAGAGGGAAGAGAGGAACAGGGAGGAAGAGACCCTGCAGTCAGAGGGAGGGACAGTGAGACACAGAGGTCCCCGGGGAACGTGAATGGGCAGGAAGAGAAGGGGAAAGTTCCAGGTGCCAGTGGAGATGGCAGGGGCGGAGACCAGGGTAGCAATGGAAAGGAAAGAGAAATGTCCCTGGAGACAGGGTGACCAACCATCTTTGTTTGCCCGGGGCTGAGGGTGCTCCAGGGACACGGCACTTGCAGTGCTGAGACCAGGCAAGTCCTCAGCAAACGGGGAAGAGTGGGTCACCCTGGCTGGCAGGCCTTTGCCAGATGCCACAGGGATCAGAGAGTCCACTCGCATAGGTACCCTTCACACAGGTGAGGAAGCTGTGGCCCGAGAAGGGCCATCAGGGACGTCCCTAGAGGACATGGCAGGGCCAAGGCAGGGCCAGCTTCAGGGACACTCCATGGAGCTGCACGGGCAAAGGGCT